CACCAGACCCGAGAGCTCAGCCCGCCCACCACCCACCACCCACTGCCGCTCCAGGGCCAGAGCCTTGGGGTCTCCTCGCTTCCCTCAGAGGCGAGGAGTGGAATGGGAAGCGGGGACGGAGAAGTGTTTTCTGGAAGAGGAAATGGCCTAGGAAAAGGCTCGGAGGTGCATAGGGTCCGCGAGCAGCCCTTTCTCAACCTCAGCCTCCACACACCTGCAGGCCCAGGGGACAGCCTCCACACACACCTGCAGGCCCAGGGAACAGCCTCCACACACACCTGCAGGCCCAGGGAACAGCCTCCACACACACCTGCAGGCCCAGGGGACAGCCTCCACACACACCTGCAGGCCCAGGGAACAGCCTCCACACACACCTGCAGGCCCAGGGGACAGCCTCCACACACACCTGCAGGCCCAGGGAACAGCCTCCACACACACCTGCAGGCCCAGGGGACAGCCTCCACACACACCTGCAGGCCCAGGGGACAGCCTCCACACACACCTGCAGGACCAGGGGACAGCCTCCACACACACCTGCAGGCCCAGGGAACAGCCTCCACACACACCTGCAGGCCCAGGGAACAGCCTCCACACACACCTGCAGGCCCAGGGGACAGCCTCCACACACACCTGCAGGCCCAGGGAACAGCCTCCACACACACCTGCAGGCCCAGGGAACAGCCTCCACACACACCTGCAGGCCCAGGGGACAGCCTCCACACACACCTGCAGGCCCAGGGAACAGCCTCCACACACACCTGCAGGCCCAGGGAACAGCCTCCACACACACCTGCAGGCCCAGGGACAGCCTCCACACACACCTGCAGGCCCAGGGAACAGCCTCCACACACCTGCAGGCCCAGGGGGACCCAGCCTCCACACACACCTGCAGGCCCAGGGAACAGCCTCCACACACACCTGCAGGCCGTGGGGACAGCCTCCACACACCTGCAGGCCCAGGGAACAGCCTCCACACACACCTGCAGGCCCAGGGAACAGCCTCCACACACACCTGCAGGCCCAGGGAACAGCCTCCACACACACCTGCAGGCCCAGGGAACAGCCTCCACACACACCTGCAGGCCCAGGGAACAGCCTCCACACACACCTGCAGGCCCAGGGGACCAGCCTCCACACACACCTGCAGGCCCAGGGACAGCCTCCACACACACCTGCAGGCCCAGGGAAACAGCTCCACACACACCTGCAGGCCCAGGGAACAGCCTCCACACACACCTGCAGGCCCAGGGGACAGCCTCCACACACCTGCAGGCCCAGGGAACAGCCTCCACACACACCTGCAGGCCCAGGGACAGCCTCCACACACACCTGCAGGCCCAGGGAACAGCCTCCACACACACCTGCAGGCCCAGGGACAGCCTCCACACACACCTGCAGGCCCAGGGAACAGCCTCCACACACACCTGCAGGCCCAGGGAACAGCCTCCACACACACCTGCAGGCCCAGGGGACAGCCTCCACACACACCTGCAGGCCCAGGGAACAGCCTCCACACACACCTGCAGGCCCAGGGAACAGCCTCCACACACACCTGCAGGCCCAGGGAACAGCCTCCACACACACCTGCAGGCCCAGGGAACAGCCTCCACACACACCTGCAGGCCCAGGGAACAGCCTCCACACACACCTGCAGGCCCAGGGAACAGCCTCCACACACACCTGCAGGCCCAGGGGACAGCCTCCACACACACCTGCAGGCCCAGGGACAGCCTCCACACACACCTGCAGGCCCAGGGAACAGCCTCCACACACACCTGCAGGCCCAGGGAACAGCCTCCACACACACCTGCAGGCCCAGGGAACAGCCTCCACACACACCTGCAGGCCCAGGGAACAGCCTCCACACACCTGCAGGCCCAGGGGACAGCCTCCACACACCTGCAGGCCCAGGGAACAGCCTCCACACACCTGCAGGCCCAGGGGACAGCCTCCACACACCTGCAGGCCCAGGGAACAGCCTCCACACACACCTGCAGGCCCAGGGAACAGCCTCCACACACACCTGCAGGCCCAGGGAACAGCCTCCACACACACCTGCAGGCCCAGGGAACAGCCTCCACACACACCTGCAGGCCCAGGGAACAGCCTCCACACACACCTGCAGGCCTAGGGGACAGCCTCCACACACACCTGCAGGCCCAGGGAACAGCCTCCACACACCTGCAGGCCCAGGGAACAGCCTCCACACACACCTGCAGGCCCAGGGAACAGCCTCCACACACACCTGCAGGCCCAGGGAACAGCCTCCACACACACCTGCAGGCCCAGGGAACAGCCTCCACACACACCTGCAGGCCCAGGGAACAGCCTCCACACACACCTGCAGGCCCAGGGAACAGCCTCCACACACACCTGCAGGCCCAGGGGACAGCCTCCACACACACCTGCAGGCCCAGGGGACAGCCTCCACACACACCTGCAGGCCCAGGGGACAGCCTCCACACACACCTGCAGGCCCAGGGAACAGCCTCCACACACCTGCAGGCCCAGGGGGACCCAGCCTCCACACACACCTGCAGGCCCAGGGAACAGCCTCCACACACACCTGCAGGCCCAGGGAACAGCCTCCACACACACCTGCAGGCCCAGGGGATAGCCTCCACACACACCTGCAGGCCCAGGGGACAGCCTCCACACACCTGCAGGCCCAGGGGGCAGCCTCCACACACACCTGCAGGCCCAGGGGACAGCCTCCACACACCTGCAGGCCCAGGGGGGCCCAGCCTCCACACACCTGCAGGCCCAGGGGGGCCCAGCCTCCACACACACCTGCAGGCCCAGGGGGGGCTCAGCCTGCTGGATCCTGCGTCATGATGGTGATTGGCAGGTCTTGGGGGGCCCTGAAATGCTGAATTGGTAACAAACTCCCAGAGGAGGCCAATACTCCCAGCGGCAATGATCTGGAGCCCTGTCCAGCCTGGGGGTGGGGAACCTTTTCCAGCCAAGGGCCCTTTGGATATTTCTATCATTTGTGACCATGTAAAATATCAACTTAAAAATTAGCCTGCTCTATTTGGTCAACATTTGATTACCTCACCCAATGCCTTGGCAGGGCCGGGCCCCTGGTGTTGGCCACCAGCCACAGGTGGCCATTGACTTTAAATTAGTGAGAGGAGGTTCAACACTCAGTCCTCGCTGGCAACAGCCACACCTCCAGCCCAGAGCCAGCAGCCAGCGCACCGGACAGCGCCAAGGCCCGGCTGCAGCCCGGCGTGTGCATGCCTTCGTGGCGCCCCCTTGGGCTCCTGCCGCGCCAGGACGTCCCTCAGTGTTCTGGGGTTTTGGCAGCTGACTCCTCAGTGCACGGAGCAGAGCTGGCAGCCACAGGGAGAGCGTGGAATTCACATCCTGTCACGTCAGGGGCTGGGCAGCGCCTTGGCTCCCCATGGAACCCCAGGAAGGCAAGGACCTGTCCCAGGACTGCAGGGGCATGGAATAAGGCATCGGGATCAGGGCAGAACAGAAATAGATCTGCCGTATCAATGCCCACTGCAAGCCTCCGTCCAAGCACAGCGGCTCACCGATAAATGAGCACTAAGCGAAACTCTGCTCCCTGCACAGAAAGGTAGAGAATTTAAAATCTCTGCACGTCCCCCACAATTTCCAGCATACAGTGACACTAGTATACGCTAGCAACAAAACCTAGTCATGTGAAGAAACAAGAAAATGCGACTCAGTCAAGTGACTAGGCAATCGAGACTGGGCAAGACGGGCCGGACACACCCTGGAGCCCTCCGCGGTCCCTCCCCGGCCCCGATCGTGCACCAGTGGGGTCCCTCAGCCTGGCCTGCGCCCTCTCGTAATCCGGGACCCCTCAGGGGATGTCGGAGAGCTGGTTTGGGCCCAATCCCTGCAGGCCAGGCCGAGGGACCCCAACTGGTGCATGACTTCATGCACCAGGCCTCTAGTGTACACATAACTGGGAGCAGAGAATGGAGCAGAAAAAATCTTTATGGAATATTGGCTGATTTTTCCAAATTGGATCAAAAAACTGTAACCCAGGGACTTATAAGGTTTAACAAACCCCAAGCAAGTAGAAAAACAAACAAACCCACAGCTTATGCCATTACCAAAACTGCTGATATTAGCCTTAGCTGGTGTGGCTCAGGGGACAGAGCGTCAGCCTGCGGACTGAAGGGTCCGGTTTCGATTCCGGTCAGGGGCACATGCCTGGATTGTGGGCTCAATCCCCAGTGGGGGACATGAGGGAGGCAGCTGATCAAAGATTCTCTCTCATTATTGATGTTTCTATCTCTCTCTTCCTCTCTGAAGTCAATAATGTATTACAAAAATAAAAATATTTTAAAATACAACAGAAAACCTGCCGAATACTAAAGATGAAAAAAGGTTTTAACACCAGCCAGAGGAAAAGCAAGCGCTGATACAGGGCACAACAATAAAACCAAGGCTGACTTCGCATCAGAAACAGCGGGGGCTACAGGCCTGGCCGGCAGCGCAGTCGGTTAGAGCGCAATCCGGATTCACCAAGGCTGAGGGTTCGCTCTCTGGTCAGGGAACATGTAAGCAGCAACCCATGAGTGCACGGTAAGTGGACACCGTATCAGTCTCTCTCTCAAGTCCATTAAGAAAAAGAGAAACAACAGAGGCCAGAAGACAACGGAATGGCGACTTGAGAAGAAAAGTGGTGCCTGGCTCAGTCCCCTCACCACCACCTGCAGGGAGTGCACAGGGTCCCACCTCCACAGGAGCCGCAGGCCCAGAGCCGGCGAGTGCTGGGGGCGGGACATAGCCAGGCGGCAGGGGAGCAACCATCCGGCCGAGCACACCCACGTGTGGGCAGCGCTGTGCTGCAGCAGGCAGCATGTGACACCGGGCTGGCCGTGACCTTGGGCGGGGGTCAGGGGGGTGCTGGGGCCTCTTGGAGGGAGGAGAGAGTTTATCCCTGTTACTCAGAACGAACCGAGAACACGCACACTACGTGCCACGGAAAAATCAAGGGCCACAAGTGTCCGTGCGACTTGTGTGTAAAACTGTAAAAATAATTTAATAGAAACACGTGAGGACCTTCCCCTGGAGTCAAAAGAAGTGTCCGTACTTGGCAAGACGCCGCAGGGCAGGAGAGGGCGGCTCCCTGGCCACTGGTCCCCAGGGGTCTCCGGGGGCAGCGGGCACTTCCAGGTGACCCTGCCGTTACACACGGGCACCCTGGGCTGGGCGGTGCCCAAAGAGCCGGCTCGAGCACTTCCTCCGTCTCCTGACCCCCAAGACGCTGGAGACCCTCACACTCGGATAAAAGGCGCTGCCTGTCAGCTCCCTCATTTAACACGAGCCCCGACCTGGGTGGGGGTGGGGCCCGAGGGCCTTCAGCTTCTCCAGCTTCTGTCCCTAGAGTGTGATGCCCGCCACACTGATGGCAGGCGGCAGGCAAGTGGCTTGAGCACCGCCAGCCCTGGAACTGCAGGGCAGAGGAGGGCAGGTCCCCTGGGGGCAGAGGAGTGGGCAGGACCCCCTGAGCCTGATGCTCACAGAATCTGCTTCTTCCTCTTGGAGGCCGGGGGCGGCCGCAGCTCCCCAGGCCCGTGGGCAAAGGGGCAGCAGCCTGCAGGCAGAGCGCAGCCATCGGGGTGGTGTGAGAAGAACCAGCAGAGGCGGGTTTTGAACGCCGTGGACAGCAGCCTGCGCTTGGCTTCCGGTTGCTTCTCCTCCTGCAGCTTCTCTTCCCTCCAGTCTCGAAAGTGCACGCGCCCGTTCAGAACTGCGGTTTGAACCGAGACACAGCCGGGAAGTCAACAGGCAAGTCCCTCAACTCACCTGAGCCCAGAGCTCCGACAGAGCCCGGCCCGCCAGCGCCCAGTGAGACAAGGGCTGAGATCTCACGCGGTGATGGGAGAAGGGACGGTGGGGCAGGATGGGGACGGGCTTGCAGGGGACCAGGCCAAGGCCCGGTGTGATGGTGTGACCGCCGTAGCGTGCAGGGCCTTCCCCGCGGGCAGAAGGCAGCCGCAGGGCCCCGCAGCCAGAGCCCCCCACGGTGAATGAGGGTGCTGCTCCCAGCGGTCAGCAGGGGTGGGGCTGCAGATGGGAGTGGGTGGGGGTCCCTGTGCTGCTAGGGGGACCTCCTGAGCTGGTGCCCTACACCCCCCCACAGCTGAGACCCCGGGAGCTTGCACGTGGCCGTTTCCTCCACGAGCTGTGAGCTCAGCAGAAACGCCGCGCGAAACGAGGCCAAGCAGCCAAGTGAGTCCCGGTTCCCCCGGAAGCTGACCCGGCGACGGGCTGGGATTTGCAGGGCTGTTGAGAAAGCCTGGCCCTCGGCCCTGAGACCTGCACTGAGTTCCAGCTCGACTTTGCTCTGCACAGACGCCCACTAAACACTTCCGGGGGAGCCCAGGCAAGGAGGCAGAGGGACTCCCTCCCGCCACCAAGGGGCGCCTCCTGTGGCCGGTGCTCGGGCCTCCCCAGGACGCTGACCGTGGCCTTCTTCCCCTGAAAGCTCCGGTCAAGGCAACGTCACCGTGTCCATAGCATACCTCCCCGTGCCGCACAACATGACCTGCCCACCCGAGGGAGCCGGGACCCCTCGAGTGTGTGTGCCCCCGTGGCCTGGACAGGCTCGCAAGAAATGTGGGGCGGTCACAGGGTCACAGCCGGGCATGGAGCAGCCTGCAGAGGCCAGGCCTCAGGGCAGTGAGGACCCTCGCCAGGTCTGCAGCACCGCCTGCAGGGCCAGGGGCAGCCAGGGCTCCCAGGCCTGGGGGGAGGGCGCTGCCGACAGCGGGAGCGGATGGGGCATTGAGGCTGGCGGGATGCCAGCAAACCGCCCCGCACCCTGAGGACGGGCCCCCCACTCTGAGACGGGTCCCGACATTTCTGAACGTTTCCTCCCTCACGTGTGCGCGCCCGAGCCTGACTAGCACAGAAAAGCTGCCATGCGCCGCCTCCGCCATTTCTGACCAGATGCTACCTTAACCGAGCGTGGAGGGCGGGGCTGGAGGTCCTCAGGAGAGCACTGCGGACAGCTGCTGGGTGTGCCGTGCTCAGGAGCCCGGGCTCTGGTCTGTCTGGACCTGGGCTGCCAGTCCCGCCTGCCCCTCTTAGAGCCTCGGCACGTCCCTGTCTGAGCTGCACGGGCACCTTCAAGGCCACAAGTGCAGCACTGAGCCCCGCATGCCGACCGCCCCCAGGGCCGGCTCCATGCTCCCGCCACACGCTCCCGACTGCGAGCTGACCAATGCGCACTGGCCATGGGGGCTCAGGGATGGAGTGGCACCATCCTCACGCCTGCACGGCACTCCGTGTCACAGCCCTGGCACCTGGCACCAAGGCGGACGCCTCCGCCCGCACACGTGATGGAGAGCACAGCTCAGCAGCCCGCACACAGACCGGCTCAGGCATAGCTCTCGCATGACGCACGGCTGCCTGCTCCAACTCCACCCTGGCCTCCTACTCAGAAGTGTTTCCAAAAATAAAAGCGCCCCGTGCATACACTGCACATGACAGCAGTCAGACGCATGCGTGCTTGTAACGGAAAAAAGATGCTGTTCATGAAACCAAACAGAAAAATGCGTGGGACACAGAGAAGGGCTGCAGCGAGCCTCCCGGACTGAGCTTGCGAAACGCAGAGCGATCCCAGGCAGCTGCGGTCCCAGGCGGCTGAGCCAGCTCAGTGGGGCAGGACGGCCAGCTCAGGGGCCCTCCTTCGGCTCCTCCCAGCCCGAGGGGCAGCATCTACCCCAGTGAGACCAAGACCTTCGGGCCCAGCATGTGCACCCAGCTGGGCCTGGCATGGGCCAGCACCCTTGGACAAACTCCAACCCGGCCTCCCTCACTCTGGAAAGGCCCCCGTCACCTCCTTCCCACAGACCCCGCCAGAGGCACCTGTCCTGCTGTGGGACCCGCCCGAAGGGGGCAGCCTCCTCCGCCAGGTCCTGGGCACAGCACAGAGGCCTTCACCCAGGCCTGCAGCCTCCAGCACAGCACACACGGGACAGCTCGCCCTGAGATGGTGCCTCGTGAGCCAGACCCCGGGAGGAGGGGTCGAGTGGGTGTGCCCCCTCCGGGACAGCCTCCTCCTGCAGCACCACAGCCGTGGGGACTGGCGGCCCTGCCTGCAGGGAACTCATGGCCTCGCTGGGGTGGGGGTGTGACAAGTGCAGGAGGACGTGTGACAGAAGCACCTGGGGACCTGGGGCCTGGAGGAGGCAGGACCGGGCGGGGCAGGTGGCTCTGGGGAGGAGACAGCCCAGAGACGCGAGGCAGGCCACAGCCACGCGGGAGGAGCGGGGTGAGCCTGGCAGGGGCGGGAGGCGCGGCTGCTCACCTGCGAACACCTGGTGGTTGTTCCGCAGCAGCGTCTGCAGGCCGCCGCACTCCCGCTTCAGCCTCTGCAGGGTCTCCCGGTCCAGCTGGCCCGCAACCTCCGCCAGGGAAAGGCTCGCTATTGAAAAGGGGTCCCCCAACGACAGGAAAGGGCCATCACACCCTGTCCCTGTCCCATGGGCACAGAACCAGCCTCCCGTGAACTCAAACCTCTCATGCACGTCAGCAGGGACCACAGATGCTTAGACTTAATGTGCTTTTGTCTACACCCCCGCTGAACTAGTGGCAGGGGGCCCCGTGCTGCCAGAGGCGGCTGTCCGCAGGCCCACCCTGTGCTGCCCGCCAGGCCTGCCCGGTGCTGCCAGAGGCGCTGCCCGCAGGCCCACCCTGTGCTGTCCGCATGGCCCTGCCCTGCAGCTGAGCCCAGGAGCCGAGCCTCCCGACAAGGTCAGCGGCTGCGCTAACCCACACCTGCAAAGCCTCCCTCTCACCTGCCTCCAACCCGCCCCCTAGAATGCGGGAACCCAAGGGAAACATCACACTGGCCCGGAAAGCCCCCACCTCCCGGCTCTGCCCCATGAGCTCCCCGCGCTGACCCTCACATGCAGCCCGGCCCGGCCACGCAGCTCCACTCTGCCACCCTCGTCCCTCCCACTGGGTCCTGCCCCAGCTCCCCCGTTCCCCTCAGCCAGGCCTGCACCAGGTAGGTCCTGGGGACAGACCACTCATGTCACAGAGCGCAGGCATGGCGGGCCCAGGCCTGGGGCGGGCTGGGCGGTCACTAATCCCAGTGACCAGGAGAGCAAGGCCGCCTGTGGGGGGGGCTGGAGGCTGAGGCCAAGGTCAGGCCTCCCCCTCATGGGAGCATGTTCCCCAGCCGACAGGGAGCTGAAGCCTCAGACCACCCTGGGGAGCATGGCGCCCCGGCTCCCAGACATCTCCAGTGGAGGGGTGGGTTGAGGAGTGATAACTAGAGCCCCCCTCCCCCTGGGCCTGGGAAAGAGCCCGTCCTGCTCACTAGGAGGCACCCCCAGGTTCCCGAAGGACCCCCGAGGGAAGCGCCATCCTGGAACGAAGGTCCAACTGCCGTCTTCAGTGCACTGGGTCTCTGGGCCCACCCAGCTTGCTTCCTCTATACTGACTCCCTCAGTGGGGCACCCTTAGGAGGTGTACCCACAGAACACCCCGTGGCACCCTGGGCTGCTGCAGCCTCATAGCCACCTGGGCCAGGCCACGCTGGCAAGGGCTGCTGGGGTCCTGATCAGACACCAGGAGGGGCGGTGACTCCGGAGAGGGGACATGCTCACCGAGGGGGGGGAGTGCTGCGGGGGGAGCTGTGTCACGAGGACACGAGACGGGAGGGAGTGAAAGGATGGAGACACTCGACTGTGACAACCTTCGTGGCTGAGGGAGAGCAGGAGGGTGGAGGACCCAGGATCCCTCCTCCCGGGCCTGTCACACCCGCGGGGCCAGCGGGGGGCCATCCTGACAGGCTTAGAGGGGTCCTCAATGTCCTCATGACCCCAAACCTCAGGCAGGACTCTGGCTGGTGGACAGACAGCTCCACAGCGCCCCCTGGTGGCTGGCCGGGGCAGATGCCTGCGGGCAGAGCAGCAGGGAAACCTTCCCAGCAGCAAGCAGCCTGGGACCTGTGACCCTGGGGAACAACTTTAGGAAGACAATCGGGGCTCACACTCAGGCCCCCACCCTCGGACGCCACTGGCTGGACAGGGCACCCTCCTGCGAGGACAGTCAGGCACACGCCCTCCCTCTCAGAGAATTACAAACCCACCACACTTGGTCAGAGTCCCGCCGGCACCCGTGACCGTGTGCTGCTGGGACAGACCTCAGACTGGCGGTCTGGGAAGGCTCGTGAGGGCCCAGTGTCCCAACTGGCCTGCCCGCCTCTCCGTCCGCCAGCGGGACCCCCAGGGAACCAGGCCTGAGCGTGCCCACAGCCTGCCCGCCACCGCTGTCTCTCACACAAACAACCCTCCAGCCGCACACAGGAGGGCGTTGCTGCCTGACGCCGCAGTGGCTGGGGGCGCAGAGCGTTACCTCCTCGGTTCCAGGTCTGCGGACTCCCGCGGCGAGGACTTCCTGGGCTTAACTGCTCTCCGCCCAACAACAGGTTTGCCACTTGCAAAACCACCTGGTCCACAAACTCCCTCGGGAGGGCGGTGCAGTTCCTCACGCGCTCAGCTCTGTCTCGGGGGTGAAACCCAGGCAGCCAGCGTCCCTCGGCCCCAGCCTCCAGGGCTCCGGGACTGTCGGGAGGACCGCGGGGGCAGCAGTCCACGCCCACGCTGCCAGCCTCAGCCCGGGGCGGGGCAGGGGCGGGCCCCGGGGCAGGGAGGCCTGCATTGCAGCCCCGGCGGCGGCTGATGTACTGGGTCCTCTGCTGGTCGACGGCGGCTTCTGCGGCGCTCGGGTAGGTCCTGGATCTCCCCAGGAGGCACACCTGCGCGAGAAGGGGAGTCACTCCTGCTTAGCGCCCTCGTCCTGCTCAGGAGCTCAAGTCACAGAACAGCCGCTCTCCGTCGGGAGAGACAGCCTCCTTCACACACCACAGGGCCCGCGCCCTGACCGTGAGCAGCAGCGGAAGCCCAGGAGGACGCTCATGCTCAGATCTGCGTGGGACCGACAGACGTCTGCGTGCTGACCGAGAGCTGCGTCACTGTGCCCAAGGGCACCCACCTGAGACACTGCGCCCATGTCAGCCCCCCTCCACTCCCAGTCCCTGAAGGTCACCCTAAGAGCTTCCGGGGAGCGACAGGAGGAGCCGTCTTTATATCGGTCTCAGTCCAGCGCGGATGCTCCACCTGGCTGCTCCCTCCCTCCTTCGCGCCTGCCCACCAAGGCCACCTGTCCTTCAGAGCCCTGGCACCAGGATGTCCAGGGACGCTGCCCAACACAGCGTCTGCGCTTCCTCCTTGGGCACCAACTACAAAGCCAGGCGACAGGCGAGGCGAGAGAGTGAACGTGAGGAATCACAGCCCCTCCAGTGCCCCAGCTCCGCCACCTGAAGTGCGTGTGACCACGGCAGGCGCTTCTGTGCGGGGAACGGGCGCCTGACGCAGGATCAGCCTGCTGTGTGCGCATCCACGCCTGCATCTGATCCCAAACCACCGTCACACGCCCGAGGCTGAGGGAGGTTAGGGAATAGCCTGAGGCGCCTACAGATGCAGGGGAACAAGGAATAAGAAATCAAACTGTGGGACCGCGCACCCACCCACACGACCCAACTGCAGTCTGCAGCACCTTTAACCTCAGGAGACACCGACCTGCCCGACGGGGGGCGAGTGAGAGAAGGACGAGTCCTACGGGAAACCCGGGTGACTGAGCAGCGAGCACCCGGAGCCGCGGGGCCCTCCCACCACCCAGTGGGTGCCGCCTCCAAGACACGGCCCTGACCGCCTGGCAGTCACAGGAGGGCGCCCTGGCCAATCACGTTTCAGGTAAATCTGAAGTGCTGAGGCTCTGACTAAGAAAACCTTGAACAGTTCTGAGCTTCCAAACAGCCTTTAACTTCAGTCAATCGTTCGCGAATCCAGGACTCAGAACTGAGTGTGTTGAGCCTCAGACAATGCCCAGGCCAAGAGGTCTCCGCACAGGCCCCGCCGACACCTGCCCCGGAGAGGGAGGGCGGGAGAAGGCTGAGCCCCAGCGATGACCGCGTGTGCGCTTGGCACGGCGCCTTCGGGAACACCCTCCGTCCCAACGTGTCCTCTACGGCTCCAACCTGGCCCTCAGCCCTCCCTCAGCGCCGCCGCCCGCCAGGCACCCGGGGCTGGACGTACGCGCTTGGTGGAAGGGATCCGCAGGCAGTCCTCTTCCACGTGGAAGCCACAGGCCGACCCCACCTCCCGGATGAAATCCAGGTACTCCCGGTACTGCGTCTTCTCACTCTGCCGCCGGCGGTACCTTCCAACAAAGTCGAAGAAGCAGCAGGGGAGGACAAAGAAACGGCAGCGGTAGGAGGACCTTCAAAACACCCACAAGCAGACACCAGAGTCCTCAGCAGGTTCATCAGAGAAAACCCAGCCCAAAGCCACGTGGCCATTCACTACAGAAGCCTCAGCAGAAGGCCACGTGGACATTCACTACGGAGCCCTCAGCAGGCCACGTGGACATTCACTACAGAGCCCTCAGCAGAAGGTCACGTGGCCATTCACTACAGAGCCCTCAGCACAAGGCCACGTGGCCATTCACTAGAGTCCCCAGCAGAAGGCCACGTGGCCATTCACTACAGAGCCCTCAGCACAAGGCCACATGGCCATTCACTACAGAGCCCTCAGCACAAGGCCATGTGGCCATTCACTAGAGCCCTCAGCAGAAGGCCACGTGGCCATTCACAACAGAGCCCTCAGCACAAGGCCACGTGGCCATTCACTAGAGCCCTCAGCACAGGGCCATGTGGCCATTCGCTACAGAGCCCTCAGCAGGCCACGTGGACATTCACTACAGAGCCCTCAGCAGAAGGCCACGTGGACATTCACTACAGAGCCCTCAGCAGAGGGCCACGTGGACATTACAGAAGCCTCAGCAGAAGGCCACGTGGACATTCACTACAGAAGCCTCAGCAGAGGGCCACGTGGACATTACAGAAGCCTCAGCAGAAGGCCACGTGGACATTCACTACAGAAGCCTCAGCAGAGGGCCACGTGGACATTCACTACAGAGCCCTCAGCAGAGGGCCACGTGGACATTACAGAAGCCTCAGCAGAAGGCCACGTGGACATTCACTACAGAAGCCTCAGCAGAGGGCCACGTGGACATTCACTACAGAAGCCTCAGCAGAGGGCCACGTGGACATTCACTACAGAAGCCTCAGCAGAAGGCCACGTGGACATTCACTACAGAAGCCTCAGCAGAAGGCCACGTGGACATTCACTACAGAGCCCTCAGCAGAGGGCCACGTGGACATTACAGAAGCCTCAGCAGAAGGCCACGTGGACATTCACTACAGAAGCCTCAGCAGAAGGCCACGTGGCAGTCGTGGATCAGAAAACAGACGCCTGCTGCTGGCGCATTTTGTTTTACGTAAAAAGTGAAGCACAGCCTCCCAGTGAGATTCCTGGAAACAGTGCAGTCCGGCTCTCCCAGTGAGACACGCCGCGAGACTCCCACACAAGGGTTTCCCACTCCAGCTGCTCTGCCAGCCGCACCCGGGCCGAGTGCAGGGCTCCAAGATCTCAAGGCGGCGGGGAGGCGGGCACAGCACGGGCAAGCTGGCTCCGCGCCTGCGGCTCCGCGAGCCGGCACGGTTCACAGGCTGCTGGAGAACGGGCAGCAGGAACCGGCGCCTAAAGGTCTCCTCTGACAGGTGAGCGCCACCTGACATGCATGACGCTGCTGGAGAGACAGATGTGACTGCTGCCACCTGTTTGTGCACCGACAGGTTTTCCTTTGAAGATAAACCCTCCTCTTATAAAAAAAAAAAAAAAAGCAAAAAAATCTTCCAGAAAAAAATGACACATCTTTCACCACTGGATGTAAATATCACAGAAGGAATGTTTTGATCATCACTGTCCAACAGAAACAGCGTGTGAGCCACATATGCAATGGAGTTTTCTCTGGCCCCATATTTCAAGTAGCAAACTAGATGGAATTCTAGATTTACCCGATATTCTCATCTCATTTCAACAAGCTGAACCAGCTGCACGCCAGTGCTCAAGTGCCACGTGCACTGGGGCTACTGCTGCCCAGCGAGGTTCAGGCACCAGCAGCCCAGCCAGGCGCCTGCCGACTGCGCTTCTCCACTCACCTGGCCGCGATGACAGGGATCCACGGGGTCAGCTCATCGGAGTGGTTCCCGATTAGCCAATCAGCGTCAGGGAAGAGGGTCTCGTCACTCGGTGTGATGGCAGCTTCCTGAAAGGAAGACCCGGAGGCCAGTCGGTGAATGCAGACCTGAGGCAGAGGCGGGCGGCCCGCAGAAGCACCGCCCCGCCCCGCAGGGCTCAGCGCTCTGAGCTCCTGGGTAGAAGGTGAGACCAGGACCAGGAGTGAGGACTGCACGGACCTGCCTGCGGTCGGCCCCAAGGGCACGAAATACTGGCAACTTCCAGGGCCATCACTAGAGACACCAACGCTTTTCTCGGGCAAGTCTCCTTTTGACCACTGAAAATGCGCTTCTTCACACAAACACACAGGGCGCCATGGGGGCCGCGTGAGCTGCCGCACGTGCCAATGCCCTGAGCCCCCGTGTCTGCCGGTACCTCCTCTTACCCCGACGGGCATGATGACATCCTGGCCATTTCTGAAGTTAAGCTCGAGGGGCTGCTTTTACGGTTTAAGGGCTCTCAACACCAGCCTTTGTGCTCAACAGACCGTCCTGGCTTGGACCAAGGCCTGCTGCTGCCTGCCCCTCACCCACAGGCAGGAGTCTGCCCTTGGCCTGTGGACACGGGGAATTTTGAACTCAACTGTGTTACTCGGACCCCTTCACACCCGAGTTTAAAACGTCTCAATTTGTTATGATGTGGGGCTATAAAGCAAACACAACCCTGTACACAAGCAGAGCATCCACATGAGACTGTCTGCACCACCACCCTCGACTTTTACAGAAAGGGGGGCAGAGAAAACACAAATGTAACCATGTGCCGAGACCTCATTCAAAGCAGGGAGCTAACGCTGGGAGAGGTCCTGGCTGCCACACTGTCCCCCTACTCGTTACAATAACGAAACGTGTCCTGAGCAACGTGTCGCTAGGCAATGTCATCGTCGTGTGAGCACCATACACCGGAGCGCTATCAGCTGCTAGGGGTGCTGCTGCGGGGCGCCCCCCGCCCTCAGGAGACGGTGCTCTCGTGGGCACCAGCACCAGCAGCTCTTGGCGGAGGACGGAGTGACCCGGGAACTTCAGCCCACGGTCACGGGCTGGACGCAGCTGCCAGCTCCACGGGGCCCAGCCCAGGTTCATTTCACCGCCCGCGCCTGGCCCTCACCAGCTGCCCTCTGCCCCGGGCAGCTCCCAGCACCACGGAAGATGTGGTCCCCATGGCAGGCCCCACGCGGGGACACGCCTCCAGCCCGAGGCCAGCATCCTCTCCAGCTGCACAAGAGGCTTTGAAAAATCCAAACGTTCACCTTTTCCTAAACCTCAGGTGAACCGGGTCGGTGTGAACGGGTGGGCGGCATGACTGGGCTGCACACAGAAAGACACTCAGCGAACAGCCACGGGGAGGCAGGGCACGAACAAGCCAGTACCTCTAAGCGCGTCTGCGGCCCATACGCGTCCCAGATCTTCCTTCTTCGGACATCAACCCCTCTGCCTGGATGCTGAGTGTCAGAAAACACAGGTTAAGTTCTGTCATCAAAACAGATGAGCAAGGACGAGTGACAGCCCGCAGTACGGCCGTCAACGGAAAGCACGGTGACCCGTGTGAAACCTGGATGTGACAGCTCAGTTTCTCAGAATGTACAGACGCGCCCCTGCTGTGGGCTCAGCAAGGGGACAGGGGTGGGGTGAAGGAGCAGCTCTGTGGGCTCAGCAAGGGGACAGGGGTGGGGTGAAGGAGCAGCTCTGTGGGTTCAGCAAGGGGACGGGGATGGGGGTGGGGGTGAAGGAGCAGCTCTGGCTGGAGCCGAGATGGGCCTGGAAAGGGAGGTACCTCGGCCGTCGGGTTCAGACCGCAGTTGGCTCCTGGTCCAGCTCGCATCCCTCAACTCCCGCCCCAAGCCCATCCTGGTGGCCTGGCACCAGGTACACAGCGACCGCACTCCGGGACCACACTTGAGCCCTCACAGGCACCTGCATTTCACACCCCCCCCCCCCCCCCCCCCGTCTCCACCCACCACCTCCTGGTCACCACCGAACGGGCAATGCGCAGCGACCTGTTTACAGTATCAGTTATTCTTCTAAGCACCTCAGGGAATACATGCTGCGAGCCCCGTCCCAGCCCCCGCCGGGAGGACAAACATGTCTGACCTGCAAGGCAGAGGCTGCGGCGGACAGATGTCAGCCTTGGGGTCAGCACTGGGCTTCCAATCCCAGCTGACGCTTGAGTGTGAGGCTGCTGAGCCCAGCCGGCTGTGCCGGGGGACCAGGTGACCGTCTAGCGCACTGGACTTGCCGGGCAGGCAGAGATGTGATGGGAGTGGGGTGGGTGCCTGCACCTCACTGACCAGGCAGTGGAGGCCAGCGAGCCCCGCGGGCTCACAGCGTAGCGCCCGGGCCGTCCTGCGCTGGACTCCAGCTTCTCGAGGCAGAAGCCCCGCCCTCGCCCCGCCAGGGCCTTGAAACGGTGGGCTTCCCGCAGGAAACATCCAACAGCAACACCTGTGCCGCTGAAGCCTGACGTTTCCTGGCGCGCCCGCCCCCAGAGCACCTCCCCGACAGCGCCCTTCCTGTGCACCGCCCCTCGGCAACACGCCATGGCCGCCAGCCCGTGCCCACGGCAGGCCGCTCGCCTCGGTAGCACCGGCAGAAGCGCTCAGCGAGCCTGTGCTGGGCGTGAGGACCCTTTGGGAAAGATGCCGCGAGGCCCCGGGCCGCCTTACCCCCGCCCCGCTCAGGATGTGCCCCGGGCCGCCTTACCCCCGCCTCGCTCAGGATGTGCGCCAGGAGGCCGTTTCCGCAGCCCAGGTCCACAAAGGACTGCTTAGCTGTCACGCCCAGCGCGGCTCGCTCTTCTTCCCATAGGACCTAACAGAAAACACAGAGTGTGTGTGTAATCACTGTAACCCGGAAAACTCAGACACCAGCCCCACGGGACTACTGGCGCTCTCAGAGCGGGGGAGGCCTCTCTGAGGTTCTGGGCTTCTGCGCAGGCGGGCAGGTGCGGGCGGGCAGGGGGGCCGGTGCGGGTGGGCGGGTGCGGGTGGGCGGGTGCAGGTGGGCAGGCGGGGGTGGGCAGGTGCGGGTGGGCAGGGGGGCGGGGCGGGTGGGCGGGTGCAGGTGGCACTGCGTGCAGCAGGGCTCCCTCCTGCCAGCAAGTCCACATTAAAGGGGTCGTCCCTGGGCAGCCGCTTGAGTAGTTCCTTCCTGCTTCCTCTGTGTTCTTTGAAGTTTTGTGCACAATGATAAACAAAATCATGCTCTTTCTAAAGAGACTAAGAATTATGGTTGAGGTGAAACTGGAAGATGCCTAGTTTAAACATTTTACAGGTACAAAACCAAGAGCAGCGAGGCAGGGCACGTCCACACATAGGTGGGGAGAAGCCGGTAAGGAACGCCCTGAGCCTGGGTGGAAGGCGCGTCCTTAACGGGCGCCCAGCGCCCCCCTAGCACCTGTTACCATGGAAGCGCTGCTCAGCTTGATCCCAGGCAGGCTGCCCAGCGCACCCGCTGCGACCCTCGGGCAAGTTACTAGTAAAAGTGAACATTTCGTGTGCAACCAGCCTTGCCCAGAGGTGAGCACCCTAAGTGGGGGTCTGGCAGCCCCTGCCAGCGGCCCCTCCCCCACGCCGCGTCCGCCTGGTCAGGTGCGTCCTTACCAGCAGGTAGGCAGCAATAGCCACGTCTTCATACACGAACTTCTCAGGATCAGTCACTTCAGGCCACACCTGAAAAGGTCCCCGAGGACACACGTCATTCTCCCGCCTCCACCATGTCTCAACACTTCGTACAGCCACAGGCGTAAGTCACCCTGGACTCGACGCAATAACATTTAAAACATAAACTTGTTCCCAAGGCAGAAATTCACAGGCCCTGGCAGTGAGACGTCTGTGCACAGGACGCGCCAGAGCGAGGCCATCCCAGGCAGGTTTCGCAGTAAAGACGAGGCACACAGGTAACTAGAGGAGGCCCTGGGCACCTCAGGACACTCCGCTAGCAGCCTGGCCCTTCTCCAGATGAGGATGAGCAGCAAGGAAGCGAGGTGGATGGGGAGCCAAGGAGCCGGGGCAGGACCAGGGCTCCGACCCTCGGTCTGCAGGGACTGGCTGTCCCTCCCAGAGGTTCTGTCCCCGCCTGCCTGTCTGTAAAGCAGGAATAAAGCTCAACGACCCCACAGGATGACCCCTGGGTGTGCAAGCAGGGGTCTCATTATTAACATGAACAATGTGCAGTGTGGCTCAGTGGTGGAGCATCAACCCATGCACTGAGAGGTCACGGGTTCGATTCCCAGTCAGGGCACAAGCCTAGACTGCTGGCTCAATCCCCAGTACGGGGTGCAGGAGGCAGCCAACTGTTGATTCTCTTTCATCATCAATGTTTCTACCTCTCTCTCCTTCTCCCTTCCTCGCTGTCTCTAAAAAACCCAACAAAACAAAAAACAACAGCAGCAATGCGCAGAACAGGCATCCGGCAGAAGATGAAAAGCCAATGGCTGATGTTCAACATCCCAATTTCTGTTCCAGTCAGAGCAGAGTGGGCCGGACGGTCGGGACGAACCATCTAAAACTGGAAGAGCACGAAAGCCCCCGAGAAGGTGCCTCACTCGCAGTTAACATGACAGCCCGGGGCTCCTCGGCCGGGCTCCAGACCCTGCCCACGTTTCAGCAGGAAGGGTGCTGACAGCACAAGGCCGGGTGCTGTGTCACACAGCGACAGGTGACTGACAGCACAAGGCACACGGAAATGACAGGTCGCAGCTGCTTCAAGGAGGGAGGGAGACGTGAACGGGGAAGAGTAAAAAGCAGGCTCAACGCCGCTAATGATGCTGTACTTCTTAAGCTCCATGTGAACACCTGTGTTTGTCCTTACCTGCTTTCTACTTCTTAGAAAGTTAAGGACACATTACAAAAGTTACCTCCTTTTTGTAAGGATGTACTTTTGTACTTTAACTTTCATATATTTTCTTAAAATACCTTTAAGTTCAAACCAGAGAATTACCGTGATTTAGTAACTAATTTAATGTTCAATTATTTAAAATTAAATACTAGTATTTCCCGTTTGTTTTCTTGGGGGAAAACTTAAGTCGTGTGCCAAAAAGTAAATACACTGCTTTCCACAAGAAGGCTGCGGACGTTTTTGTGGTCTGCAGCCCTAAGCACGTCAGGGCACAGCTGCGCAAGGTCAGGGGGGAACCCCGACAGTGTCTGCCCCTAGGGGAACGGGAATGCACCCAGGAGGGGTCCCACCTGCGCAGGTGGCCAACGTCCCAGCATTACCTGGACCATGTGCTTGTACTTGTCTTTGAGCTCCTGGTAGGTGTGGCTGTACTTGAGGATGGGGAGGAGGGACAGGGTGCTTTTGAAGCCACTGCTCCCGCTCGCCACAGACCACCGGGCCAGCCTGGCCGGCAGCTCGCGCCCAAGCCAGGTGGGTTTGGGATACACAGTCCCATCCGACTGCCATCTTTCTGGACAGAAAATCAAAACAGATATGAACCTTAAAAATAAGAGAAACACGAATAAGCAGAGCTGGTTTCAGTTCTTTTGAAGTTACCTGTTCAACAAAGGAGAGAGGAGACGGCTAAGTTACCAAATATTTTCCCCAAACACAAAGCCACCGGGAACACGCTACAGAATGTTCATCTGACAGCGAAAAACACACTTAAGAAGCAGAAAGAGTTCCACTTCTCTTGCCAACACTGTTAAACGCGGAACCCCCACCAGCCCGCCGGAGGCTAGGCCATGAACCACCACGCTCCCCCTGCGACTGCACCACCAGCCACAGGCTCCACAGCCCACGGACGCGCCTGGCCCTGCTGCGCTTCACACCTCCCACACGGCAACTCACACCTGAGTGCTGGCTCGGCAGGGATTCGCTGGCCCGAGAGCCGCGAGCTCAGCGCAGCGTAAGGGCATGCTCGCAGGCCCCACGCAGTTCCCAGGCCCATCTGCCCACGGTGTGTTCCGGCACCAGAACATGGCCAGGTCCTGGCTCCCACCTGAGCTGTCACGCTCTGCCCAGCTCCTGGCACGGCATTAACAAGCTTACTAAATACCCACTATATCTAAAACCACGTGGGCCTTGGCAAGAAATAAACAAACTTATACTCACGCTCCATTACCAAGTTGTAAGAAATAAAATAACAAAGGGAACTGAGTTTACTTCAACTCATTGCTAAAACCAAGTGCTACATGGGACGTAGGGACTCGACTCCCACCAGGCCGTGACCACACACGCAGCCAGGCACCAGCTGGAACAAAAGCGCGTGGAAACGCCAGTAGAAGGCAATTCGCACGAGCCCTAACCCTGAGAGAGCCCCTCAGCTCGCTCTTCCCTGGCCCGGGGCGCGCAGCGGCCTGGAGCAGCGCTGAAGGAGGAGCCAACACTCAGCTCTCACCATTCTTCACGGCCACGGCGGAGCTGAATCTGATACACGTTGCTCATCTGAACCTTCAAACTGCCTTGGCCATCTTCTTCCAAAGGTAGAAATGTGACCGTTCCCCCGAGGACATCTGGGGAAGAAACGACAGAGGACACGAAAGCGGCCTCAACAGAAGCTGCATTCGCAACAGTAACGAGCCAGGTGTTGGGCTTTGTCTGCCCGGCTCCCACCCATGGACAACGGTGCCCAGGAGGCAGGCTCTCCTGTCCTGCTCCCTGCGGCCTCGAGCCCACCTGTGCCAGCAGGAGCAGCCCTCAGCCCCCCAACCCCCCAAGGTCGACAGGAGCACCAGCGGCATGGCAATCAATGGTGGGGGGTCCTTGGCACCAGTCCACCGCAGCAATCCCCACTTTGGGGTACAATGGAGGAGGAAAACGGTCAGTGCAAAACAGCCCAGTAGTGACACAGCCCAGCTGAGGCAGCCCTGGGCCAGGCCCTGCCCGAGACAGCTCTGCCCGCTCCCTGATGCCTCAGGCCGCGCCAGCTTTCCTTTCTGCTCACGCAGGGAGAAGAGTCTTCCGTGGAGGGGAAAGAGGCTTTCCATATCACCCAGAGCTGGTTTATCTGGACAGAAGTTCCGCCCCTGGTCCCTGATTGGTCTTTCCTCATGCAAATGTGTGGGGAGCAGCTAGTGTTTGGACAAGTTCAAGCCTCGGACTGAGAGGGCACAGTCCCCTCATTGCCTCGTGCAAGTCCCAGCTTGGAGGGCACGGCCCTCCCAGCACAATTATAGCCAACAGCTGTAGTTGTGAGCTTGGACCTATGGTCCGAACACGTGGCCCCACGTGCCTGAGTGATGTGGGCTTGATAGAGTTCAGGTGCATGTAGTTGAGTAGGATCGAAACCCAGGAGAATGTTGTAAACATCTTGACCACGCCCTTGCTTTGCCTCGTGGAATCTGCTATAAAATAAAGACACGGCTTGTAGTCCGTGGCGCTGTCGCTAGCTCTCCATCAGAGAGGACGCTGTCCCACCGAGACCCAGCTTTCTTCTCTTGTCTGTCTTTTCTCAATCCTTCACCACCCCCTCTCAGGCTCACCGAACCTGGCTGAGCTGGCGCCCAGCGTGGGGCTGAGTACGCCATGGCCGGCCGGCTCGCCACACAAATGAAGATCCAAATCTCCACAGTATGACTGGTCCAAAAGGCACTGTCGTGACTGGTCAGAATACAGTCACTCCTGTAAATGGCTGCTAGGATCTGTTTTTGTTGGTTTGTTTTTTTGTTTTAATTTGAGCCCTGTTAGCTATAAGGAGCCCTTCTTAGTAGGTGTCTGCTTTCTCAGGGTCCACACTCACGTGGAAACACTCTGAGGATGCAGAGGTGAAATGTGAAAGTTGATAAAAGCTGGGAGACCTCCTATCCTGGCCCAGCCGGGCAGGGCTGGGGAGGGCCTCCTGGAGGAGGGGTCACCTGGAAGTCTTAGGGGCGCAGAGGCACAGTATTGGGGGGGTACACACCTACCGGCCACTCTGTATTGCTGCGTGTACACAGAACCACGGCCTGATGGTGTCTACACCCTAACGCCCAGAACCTGTGACTACATACATGTGTTACCTGGCAAAGAGGGGACTTGGCAGATGTGGTTCAGGCTACAGACGGAGGAGAGGGAGATACAGGTGGGCTCCAACTGGCCGGGTGAGCCCTGAAAAGGCGGAGGCCCCGGTTCTCCAGCTGGAGGCGGAAGCAGTGCCTCAGAGGGGACGCCAAAGACCCCAAGCGTGAGCAGGGCTCCCGAGACCCGCGGGCCGGAGCCAGAGGCGGCTCAGCGAGCTCCTCCAGGAGCGGCCTTTCCCGCATCGCTTCACCTGCTACGCTCCTACCTGTGGGTCCGCATCCGCTGCGCCTTGCCCTTCTCCCCCAAGCCTTCCAGACGCCCCCAGTCCACACCCCATCCTCTGCGCTAAGGACACGCATTTCTACACGCCCCTCACGGAACAGTAACCAACCTGCCACCTCGCTAGGACAGGGCAGGAACTGGACCCGCAGGCACCTTCCGCGCCTTCGCACCGACCTGAGGTTCAGCCGGTGCGTGTCAACCTAACTGCGTCTAGCCATGCTCCTCTTCACCAAGCTCAGCAGGCTCCTGGAGCCCTTCTCTACTGGCCCCAACGCTGGCCCATGGACATCTCAACAGACGCTAGCACGGCTTCCAGCAGCTGGGGGCTGCATCCCTGGGACGACCCCAGGCCCCTTAAAGTGCCTGCCTGAGGGATCGCAAGGTGACAAAAATCCATCTTCCAGCCCACACCTGAAGAGGGGTCCGACCCCCCGCCTCTCCGCCTATGTGTGTGTATGGGGGGGGCGGGGCAGGGGGTTGGGGGGTTTAGGAACCTAACTGCCACCTGCACCAGTTAACAAACTCCCGTGGGTTTCACATGCATCAGCCCCCCCCTCCCCCTTGAACACGCCCAGGCACAAATCCAGGAGTTGGAGCCACCTGGGCCGCCTCCCACTGTCAGTGCGTGACTGATGGGAGTGTCCTGGCCCCGCCAGCGCCGGCCGGTTGGTCTGGACGCCTCCCGCCATCGGAGACACCCTTACCCCGCGCCACCATCTCTCTCCGCGGAGCCGCGAGCGGGCAGTGCCAGCTCCTCTTGGGGATGACGGTCCTGAGCGCCACGTCGAGCTCGTGCTGAGCCTCCGCCTGCAGTCCGGGCCCTGGGCCTGCGAGGAAGGCCAGCAGCTCCCGGTGGTCGCCGGAGAGGCTCCGGGAGAAACCGTCCCAGAGAGAATCCAGGTCCGGGGCGGGGACGGCGCCCTCCCCGGGCTGTCCGGGGGCCCCTGCGAGCAGAGGCGTTGCCGCGGCGGCTCCCCTCTCGCTCTCCCCGTCCTGGAGCTCCTCGGTTCCCTGGGGCTCCTCGGGGCCTGCGCCGGGCCGGGGGCTCGAGCCGCCCTCGGGGGAACGCTGACCGGGTCCCGGTCCCTCCTCGGACCCGCATCCCGCCGGGGCCGGCTCCTCCCGCCCGGGCTCTGCGCTGGGCCGGGGGCCGCGGGCCTCGGTCCCGGGCAGGGCAGCGCTCCGCCGGGCCTCCAGGCGGACGCCGCACAGCCGCTTGTTGGCCACCTGCGGCCTCTCCAGCCACACGGCCACCGCCGCCCAGAAGCCGCCCGGGAGCAGCGCGCTGGGGTCGCGCACCGCGGCCCGGCCCACCTCCGCCATGGTCAGCCTGCGCCCCGAGCCTGGCGGCGGCGCGCGGCGATGACGCACGGGCAGCGCGGCGTGTGCGTGTTGACGTCACTGGGGCGGGGCGCCGGGACGCGTAGGGGGCGGGGCGAGGACGGACCCAGGGCGCTCCCCTGCTTCGGCTCCCCGGCAGGAATCCGCGGCGGGTTCCAAGCTGTGCTTTGTTCCGCGGGATCCGCTCCAGGCGTGTTGGTGCCTCGGAGGAGCGTGGTCGGAGCTGAGCCGGAGCGGCTGGAGGCGGTGCACGTAGGAAAGCATAGGATCAGCCCCGCGTCCCGCATCCTGCGTGGATGACAGGTCAAAGTCAAGAAACCCAGTGTGTGCATGTTCAAGGTTACGCCTCTTACGGAAGCTCGTCCCTCTCCGTTTTCCTTCCGGGGTGCTTTCTTGTGTGGGAGAGCTACGAGGGTGCGTTCCTGCGCCCCAGCACCGCCCCCGGTGTGTCCCCAGGAGGAGCAGGGAAGGGTGGGCGCCGCCAGTTTAAGTCAGCATCACCCGCACAGTCCGGAGAATCTAGTGACGAAAGAAAAACATCACAGAGATTCGTCCTTCTTTCGAACATTAGTCCCTCGGTGGGGATGTTGCCATTCCCGAGACGGTCTCTGCTTAAAACCAACTCAAATCATGTGACTTATCAGAGAGAAGAGCGGACCCCCGGTCTGGACTTCAGTATAAGATGCATGAGCGACAGAACCTCGCAGACACTCCGGCCCGCCCGGCGGGCCCTGCCAGCCTTTGATCGGGTGGCTGACTCTCACGCGCTCCGAGTTTTCTAGGGCGGCCATAAGTTACCATAACAACAAGCTATTCTCTCCCAGTCCTAGGGCTCCTTGCCTCTCTGCTTCTGGTGGTCGCCATCAATCATCAGCTTTCCTTGGCTGTGGCCACAAAACTCCGATGTCTGCCTCCACGGTCGCATGGCCTTTCCTTGTTTCTCTGTCTCTTCTTCTGCAAAGACCCTAACTCCAGACAACGTTCTAGAACAGGGAAGGGGGCCCCGTGGGAAGAGCACCCGGGCGAGTCCAGGAAAGGTTCGGCTCCAGCGCGTGCATCCCAGGCGGCCGCGGTGGGCAGGGTGCTCCGACGCGTTCAGCGTTTCCCGGGCGACGGGGGTGGGCGGGGCGGCGCGGTGACGCCAGGGTCGGACGGTGGCCGCGAGGCGGTGCGGGCCTGACAGCCCAGCCGGTCGCAGCTGCGTGCTTGGCACTCCCTGTGACGCCTACGCCCCAAGGACGTGCATTGAGCGCGGGCTGCGTGCGCTGATCGATGCGCGGACCCTTCGAACTGGAGTGATCGGTGAGATCCGCAGGTCGAGTCCGCGTCTGCCTGGGGGCGAGGGGGCGTGGGGACGACACATGCAAAGGTCCGGGGCACCCGGGCTGGGGGTGCTTTGCACGCCCGGCCATTGGCCATCGCGAAATTGCGGGGCGCACAGGAGGCAAGGAGGGCAAACCTGCGGGACTTTTTGAAGAATTCAGACTATAGTCCCCTAGGTCACGGGACAGCTGTCACCTAGAGGGGGGAGGATCAGATCTGCATTTGAGAGTCACCTCTTCCTCTGCAGAGAGGAAGGTCGGCAGGGCGAGGAGATGGAGGCCACAGTTCCATGCTGGGCACGGCCCCAAGTGCCCCCTGCCAATGGCAGCAGCCGGGACACCGACTAGTACAGCGAGTCCTCACTTAACCACGCTGGCTGGCCGGACAGGTCCTGCCTTAAGCAAGCGGAAGTACCAGGAAACAGCTGTCTTGGGGGCTAATGTCAACCAGAGTTACACTGTTTCTGCGCATCCAGCCACCCTCCTAATGAGACAGCCCGAGGGAAGTGAGTCACCCGAGGACCTGGAGGACTAGACTCCAGACCAGCCCCGAGGCCCACACCAGGCCTGAGGCACAGGGAGGCGGGGACTTGCAGACTGAACAGGCGACTTCACCCAGCTGGCGAGCTCTGAGGCCAGGCCGTGTGGAACCCTTCTGGGCGGCAGTAATGACAGTGACCTCAGGGACAGAGGCCATCGGGGACTCGCTGATTGCTTAAGGTCCTGGGACTGGGGCAGGATGTGCCTGACAACAGCTGCAAGACCTTGGACAACAATCTCACTCTCTTTTTTGTTTGAATCCCTACCCAAGGCTATATTTTTTAAAATATATTTTATTGTGTTTTTGTTGTTGTTGTTGTTTTTTACAAAGAGGAAGGGAGAAGGATGGAGAATTAGAAACATCGATGAGAGAGAAACATCGATCAGCTGCCTCCTGCACACCCCCTACTGGGGATGTGCCCGCAACCCAGGTACATGCCCCGGACCGGAATCGAACCTGGGTCCCTTCAGTCCACAGGTCGACGCTCTGTCCACCGAGCAAACCGGTTAGGGCCCAAGGATATTTTTTACAATTATTTCTAGAAAGAGTGGAGGTGGGGGGAGGGCAGAGAGAGAAACCCTGAAACAGAAACATGGATGTGAGACACATGGATCGGGGTTTCCTCCCACATAGCGCCACCAGGGCTGGGGAACCTGCAACTGAGGTACAGGCCCTCAGCCAGGAATCGAACCCGGGACCCTTGCTTCATTGCGCAGGCCAATGCTCTAACTACCGAGCAACATTGGCCAGGGCTGATTTCACCCTTAACAGGCGTCAGTTTCGTCATGCAGAAATGAGAGCACCGTGAGTCCTTGGTGTTGCCACACGGTTGAGACATCCACTGGCTGCAGGGGTTGCCCAATAATCGGGGGTTATTAGGTTCCATTTAATAGGAGTGGGGAGTCGTGGAAGGTTCAGAAGGCGTTAAAGAGGGGAGTGTGGGGCTTCGGGGCCCGAGGAAGAGGGGGTTCCCGGATGGCAGCTGGGTTGTGGAACGGCCTGCGGGACAGGCTGGTCAGGGCTGAGGGGCGCTCAGTGTTGGACATGCCAAGTTCAAGGGCCTCCCTGAGAGGGTGGGTGGCCAGGAAGCTGCCAGTGATGGGGAGGATTTGGGAGCCCTCTGGCATGGGGACCACGGCCTGCTGACATTGGCACCACCCAGACCCAGGGCTGCCCTTTGCTCCCTCCGCCCCCTTGCCACCTTTGTTGGTTCAGGGAGCTCTGCCTCCCCCTCTGTTTGGGGAAAATGGACTTTAGCGCTAAGCGTGTCTGTTCTCCTTGGCCCTTTGGAGTCTGGCTCTCATTGGTAACGCATTGCGCGTACACAGTTGCTCGAGGTGCGCGAACAGAGACCAGCTCGCCGACTCAGGCTGTGATTGCTGCGCAGGCTGACGGGGAGCGATGGCACCCAGTGTGGAAGGAAGCGAGGAGGCCCTGCTCCCCGATCTCCCCAGGGGGCCCCTGCATGCCTACCGCGCCCGCGCCTCCTTCGACTGGAAGGAGCTGGCGCTGTTCTTGGAAGGCGAGGACATGCTGCGCCTGAAGGTGAGACTGTGGCTGTGGGCCATGGCTGGGCTGACCACAGGGGGTGCTGCGCTGACCACAGGGGGTGCTGGGCTGACCACAGGGGGTGCTGCGCTGACCACAGGGGGTGCTGGGCTGACCACAGGGGGTGCGGCGATGGCCGGGCTGACCCACAGGGCGTCTGGTGGCGTCCCAGGTCGCTGGTAAAGAGGGGGCTTTATACCCTACAGCCACGAGGCTTCCCTGGGCCTCATGTCCCGCCGTGAGGTGTGCTGTCTCGGGCTGCAGCCCAGGCTGACTCCTCGCTGGGGGGCCTCCGGAGTGGCCGAGGCCCCAGGAATGGACGCAGACTGTTGAGCTCCCCGGGGAGGACTTTCACCTCCAGCCGGTGTTTCTGGGCCGGATGTGTGTTCCTCGGCCTCAAGAAAAACCGTCGAAGGGGGAGCACAGTGGGACGGCGCCCGGGCCTCCACATCCTTTCCCGTGCCTCCCTTCCAGAAGTCCATCTTCTCGGCCTTGGAGAGCGACCCCCTGTTCGCCCGGCCGGGCCGCAGCCTCTCGGTGGACAAGCTGCGGGAGCTGACCTTCCTGCGCTGCCGGCGCGTCTTCCAGCTGGACTGCCTGCGCACCGACACCCTGCTGCAGAGCCCGCCGCGGATCCTGGCGCTGGTCACCTGCCTGGGCATGTACGACTGGTCCCTGGCCACCAAGGCCTTCCTGCACGTGTTTGTGAGTAGGCGCGCGGAGAGGCGGGGCCGCGAGGTGGCCCATGAGGTCGCCCGGGGCCAGGGCCATGCGGGACGCTCGTCGCAGGAACTGGGCTGCAGCCTGTGGGGTGTCGACGCTGGCCTGGGTGGTGGGGGTGTCAGTGTTTACTGGCGTCTAAAGTTTCCTGGGATTTAGGCATTCGGGGGACTCTTGCTTAGAGACTTCTAAGACTCACGCAGGAAACAAGCGGAGGTGGGAGTGTGCGGGCCCATGTTCTCTGCTCGGCGAGGAGTCCGATGTTTCGCCTTTCTGTGAACTTGCACAGAGTCCTTGAGACCACCCGGTTCCCCAGAGGCCAAAGCCCCAGGGGAAGAGCAGCTGTGGGACTTTTTGGCTACACACACACACACACACACACTCACACACACACTCACATACATACACACACACACTCATTCACACACACTCATACACACACTCACTCACACACTCACATTCATTCACACCCGCTCACACACACACTCACATACATTCACATCCACTCACATACACACACACACTCACACACACACACACACACTCATTCACACACACTCACACACACACTCATACACCCCCCCACACACACTCACACTCACACATACACACACTCACACTCATTCACACCTGCTCACACACACACACTCTCACACACTCTCACACACACACACACTCACCACACACTCACTCACACACACTCACACACTCACACACACACACTCACACACTCTCACACACACACACACTCACACACTCATACACACACTCACACACACATACAACACACACACAAATCACACACACTCATACACACACACTCTCACACACACACACACACGCACACACACTCATACACACACTCACACACACTCATACACACACACACTCACACACTCATACACACACTCACACACACTCATACACACACACACTCACTCGCACACACATACACTCACTCACACACACACACACTCACACACACTC